GTGGAGGGGCGGGGCGTAGAGGGGCAGGGCGGGGCATTCAAGTCGGCGCGAGGGCCGGCGAGGTTCAGGGCGGTCAGTGGCTGATTAATAGTGGGACCGGCAGCGCCTTGCAATGCCCATTCGTATGCTGTGATGATGGGGCGGTTTCACTCCCCGCGCTCCGCGCCCCGCCCAAGAGGACAGCCCACTGTGCGGCGCTGTGCGGCGCTGTGCGGCGGGGCGTGGACGTGTCGAGGTGTGCAGAGCCTAACCTCATTCCATTCCACACGCTGCCGGGGAAGGTGCGCGGCGCACGGATGGGGAAAAGGGGGGTGGGGGTGGGGCGAGATTTGGAGAACAGAGAAGAGAGGAGTGAGTGAGAGAAGAGGGGTATCGAGCGAGAGAGGGACAGAGAAAGAGAGAAAGACATACAGACGGAGGGAGAAGTGGGGGGAAGGGGGAAAGCAAAGTATTCGCCCTGGAGGGACGGAGTGGGTATTCTCATGGTAATAAGATAAGCCCAAGCGGATAAAGCAACAAGACGCGGAGCAAAAACCACTTCGGCGCGAAAATGGAGGGGGGAGGGGGGAAAAGGGATTTAGGGTTGGTAAATTCCATGTTCCAATTATTGAAGAAAATTAAAAGAAAATGGGACGAGTAAGTAAAGCGTTGTAGATTTCTCTTTTTTTGTTGCGAATTTTCATGTTTTAGATTTTTGAAGGAAGTTGAACGAATAAAAAGAAACTTTGCAGGTTTCCTAAATTGTCGGCCAAGGTTTGAAAAGAAATACAAGGCAGCGAAAGCGGAAGGGGGGGGGGGGGGGGGGGGGTAAGGGGTGGTGACGAGAAGATGATAGAGACCAGCGAGCCCTGTTTCATGAATCTGAAATCATAAATGGAATGCTAATTTGTTTGCGTCCGAAGGGAAATGCGTAACGCGACGGCAACAAAGTTTTTGTGTGAGAGAGGGCGAGAGTGTGAGCAAAAGGGGAGAGCAGGAGTGAGAGAGCGAGAGACAGTGGGGAGAGAGAGTCGGGTTGAATAGCGGCGGTGGCCACTACACCGGCCAGTGGTTCGCTAATGCCGGAAATCACTCGAAATGAGGAAGACGAGAGAGGGAGGGAATAGATTAGTGTTGTTCTTGGTGTTGCTGCTGCTGGTGGTGGGTCGTGGTGGTTGTGGCCATGCGTCATGCAAGCCTTGTGCTAGTCATGCAGTGCGTTTGTATGCAGATGGAAGGAGGAGGCCGGCGAAGAGAATAGTGGTTACACACAAGCAGAGAGAGAGAGAGAGAGAGAGATATGGTGAGAGAGAAAGAGGTATTCATGCAAAACCGGAAGGAGAACAAGTTAGTTGCACAAACAGTGTGTTTCCCATGTTGTTGTCTACCGTCAGACTGCACAGCGCTCAGCGCCGCTCAGCGCGCAGCGCGGGGGACAATGAGTGGAGGGGACCGCCATTCATCACGAGGCGTTACATGTATCGCGGGGTGCGTGAGAGAAAGAGGGAGAGAAGGAGAGTGAAAGAGGAAGAGTGTGAGTGAGAGAGAGAGATACGCGTTGGTTTATATTTGAACGCACCCCACGAACAAAATTATTGTACAAGCGTGTGTGTCACAACACAACGGCGTCCCGTCGGTGTGGTTGTGTTCGTCGCCTCGCAGCCCAAACAAAAGGCGTGGATCAAACAGATTGTGTAATATGGTGCGGCGGTGGGCCGGCCAAGCTGTCCCGATCTGGATCTAGTTTTGCCCTTCAAGCTTCTAGCGTCACTACCCTTCTAGAGTCGCACTAGGACCATCAACTGAATTACGAAGCCAAATTTAGTCTTTCTTTACGTTACAACGGTTTTTTTAAGAAACACATATTTTTACAGCTATGATAACAGTCTTGCCAGCACTATCTGCTGTACTGAGGGTACAGCTTTGTAAATATTTGACTCAGCCAAGTACACACTACCGACACTAGTTCGGTGGAAAAAAAAAAATCAACTGGCCCTTCTCTGTGCCATCAAAAGGGTTTTCCGAAACAAGCTTGTGTCTCGGTATAGTCGTCTACAAAGAAGTTGCAGAGTCTATCGTGCAAACAAGTTACAGTACTTGGCAGTGTTATTTCTCTCGCTAACGCTAAGTCCTAGCACCCTTGGCCCTAGGGCCGGGAGGGCCGGGCCGCCGGGCCGGCCTGAGGCAGACTAGACAACAACAAGCCCGACAAAGGGTACCTGTTATTGCGATCTTGCACGACCATTTGGAGGTGCCCTCTAACACGATTTCTTCCGCTTGTTCCACGGAATCTATATGAGTATCGGGGTCCATCTGAAACGTCTTTCTGTAGACATACCAGAGAAGAAACACACAAAAGCCACATTCAAAAAACATGACAAAATAACAACAAACAAACAACAACACACAGTAAAACACGACAAATAAAAAATAGAGAGGAGAGAAAAAAGACAACATAAACACTGCGAATTGAGCAAACACGCAGGAGGCAGGGCAGACACAAAGACGAACGGTAAGCCGGGGCTGGCAGGCTGGGTCCGGGTTGGACGAGGCTAGTCCGAGGGGTGACAAACTGGCGGGGGACAAACCTGTGATGGCAATTTTGGCGGACCACTTGGACGTGCCATCGAGCACCGACTGCTTGACCGCCCGCATGTGGCCGACGTGGTTCTTCTCTTCCACGCTGAACACGGACCTTTATACAGCATCGCAAACCGTTAGCAAGGAAAGAAAACGGAGGACGGGCCAAGAGAAAAGACACGGGGTCGGACACGTCGGCCGCGGTGGTGGCAACTTCTCGCGGCGCACGACGAAAAGGACGACAAAAGTCAGCCGTAGTTGCATTGCAATTAGTGGCCTCAAATTGGACGAGTCGCCGCGCGTCACGTCGGGGTTATTCATGATCACTGGAGCGGCACGCTCCCGGGCAGAGAGCGCGGGGGAGAGCAGAGAGAAGCGGGGAGAGAAAGAAGAGAGAGAGAAGAGAAAGAGAGAGAGCAGCGGAGCAGAACGGAACAAGGAAAGAGAGGAATCTGGAAGAAGATGAAGGAGAGAACAAAGTTCGGAGAGAGGCAAACGAGCAGAGCAGAGCAGACAGACGTAACGGCAGACGGGAAGAGAGCGACAGACGAAAATGAGGACGAGAGAGGAGAGAGACATTAAAGATCATTCAGAATATGGCGCTCAAAAACAAATACATCACCTGATGAGTTCGAATATTTCCGGCTTCTCCATCTCCCTCTGCTTCATGCGCTCCTTCATGGCGGTGATGATGGAGTTGGCCTTATCCTCGGCGCCGTGTTTTGAGCTTTTCTCGGCAGCACCTAAAAGAATACCAACGTCAGACATTTCCAAAGTTCTCAAAAAAAACAAAAAAACACACACAACAAAAAACGATATCTTTCTGCCAAAGATAGTAATAATCTTTCTGCTGTGTAGCTCTTTCGAGAACGCGTTTCACACCACAAAAGTGTCTAGTTGTCACTCACGTTGTAAGCAGTCGGCGTTGAGCAGGTCTTTACACTTCTCGTGGCACTTGACGGCGCACTCGGTGCAGCGCACACCCTGGCGCGCGATGCCCCAGAGCAGGCCCTCGCACTCGTAGCAGTAGGTGGGCGAGGTGGCCGTCCAGAGCACGAAGTTGTGAGGCGTGGTGGACGAGATGGGGTAGATGAGCGCCTGCAGCGTCTTCTTGTACACGTGCATTTTCTGAAAAGCCCACAAAACCAAGTTAGCTCCCAGCAGGGACAAGAAGGGGGCTCGGAAAAGGTGACGTAGTTAGTATATAAAGCGACAAAAGCTGCGAAAAAAAAGGTATGCCAGTCTCGAGACACTCGAGGCACTGCGCTACATGTTAATAAATTATTTGTGGTTCAAGCTGAAATACATGAGTATGGACACATTCGTGCGTATTTGGTGGGTCATTATGCGACTCTTTATCAAGGCTTTCTAAGGTTGATGGGATGCCTGGCCACGAATGTGTGATGAGAGCTGCTTTGTTGCTGACTAAGACTCTGGGAGCTACGGTTCAATAACAAGTTACGGGAAACTGTCGCAAGTTAGAGCGACGATGACTCTGCTATCCTGGGGCACAGATGGGTCCAGCCGGGGGCTGGGCAGCTCGCCTAACGTTTCCCTCATTTCCCAAAACTGCCGACACAAAAATATGAGCGGTACTTCACGTGAGTCGAGACTTTGGCATACCATACTTACGAGTTCTTCATCGTTGAGCGTGGCCCGGGGCACGGCCGAGGTGAGGCCCGCGTTCCTCTTGGTGGCCGCCATCGTCTGCGACAAACAGAGTAAAGGTCATTGCGTGCCATCGTGTGCCATTTAAAGTAATGCAAGTCTTTACCTTGAGTATTTTTCTCTCTCGCACAGTGAAGGAGAGTGTTATTACTCCTTCCCGTGCAAACGAGATTAAAAAATAAAGCAAATAAAACAAAAGCACGTAAAAAAACATTGCATGCAAAACAGCGCGTTCAAGATGAAAGAAACCAACACTAAGAAAAGAAAAGAAAAGAAAACAGAATGAAAATGAAAAGTTCAAAACAACATCGAAAAAGAAGCGGTGAACAATCAAAACACTAG